TGAGGGTTTTCGTATTTTCTCTCTCTCTTGCCCAGTTTTTTTTTTTTTTTAAGTTGGTGTACCACTTGACACCAAGTAAGACCTGAGCTATTGTGTAGGTGTGTGTTTGCATGTGAATCCTGTGATGTTGAAAGGCCAACTTCTCCTTGTGTACCACATGATCCAGTATGAACTGTGTTACATTTTCTTTCTTGAATCCTGTTCTGTGTTTATCACTTGCTGGCCCTAGACTTTACTGTGCCATGTCTGCCAGTCTGCTAAGTTTGGGCAGAGGAAATGAAACCTACTCAGGAACTCTGAGATTTAGAGTGGACCTGCCTCTGCAGGAAGTGGTGAAATGTTGATGGATAGTTAAAGACAGAACTCTGCACCCAGAAACAGGATGTATGTTTCCCATTTATTTTTCCTTCGAAAGTTTCAGGGTTCCTTCGGCACTTCTGACTGTTTCAGTGGGACTGTGCCCCTCCTCTTTTTTTGCTTCTCTAAACTCAGTCACCAAATGTAAAATCATTGAGGAGATTTTGTGTCAGTTTAGCTATGGTAAAGGGGTAACTGTTAGCTATTACTCTTTCCCAGGAGTTTTATTTACTGTAACTTGTCAGCAGTCTTAACTTGGAAAAGCCTTCCAAAATAGAATATTCTTTCACATATACAGAGTTTAAAAGTTCTTTTAAAGTCATGCCCTAGGATTCCATGTCTAATAACTTGCCAGGCAAAATCTGCTCTGAGAGTAGTGTTACTGAGACATATGATCAATTGACATGTCTCTCTCTTTCTTTCTTTTTTTATTTATCTGTTTGAACGGCAGAGCAGCAGAGAGAGAGGAGCTAGTTTGCTCTTCAAACAGCTGACAGTGGCCGGGACAGGATCAGGAGCCCAGAACCTCAGACAGGCCTCCCCACATTGGAGGCAAGAGCCCAAAGCACGGGGGTCACCATCTGCTGACTTCCCATTAGGAGGGAGCTGGGTTGGAAGTGAAGCAGCTGGGATTCAAACCAGCACTCCAATGTGGGCATTGTAAGCAGAGGTAGAATCCACGTACCACCATGTCAGCTGGTCCAGTCCTTTAAGTGCCGAGTGTGTTCACTCACTCATAGGATCATCTTCCCTGGGGAGGTGGTCTCCACCGAGACGTAAGATGCAGGTAGTAGCTAGAGCTGGTAGTGCAGTGCGCGTGTTCCGAACAGACCTGGTATTTCTCAGAGTCTGCTTATTGTGATGATGCCAGTGACAAAGCTTTCCACCCATAGACTAGCCAGTCGTGTCTTGATTATGACAGAGAAAAACCACTAACCACCCAAAACGAGCTGCTTTCTGAAGCAGGAAGGCCAAATCCAGGGGCGGACTCTGGGTTTTACAGCAAGTAGCAGATTGGAGCCAGCTCTAATTGTGGCTGCGGTTCAAAGAACAAAATGGCTACTCTTGGATGGCTCAATTATTTCCCCCAAAGGAATGGTTTCCTTTTTCTGTGAATAATGCTCATGGGAAGTGGTCTGTGTAAAATAATTGGATGAAAAAATAAGCCCAGCTTTTATTTCTCAGACACACTTCGCACCAATGCCATTTGGAAATTGTAGTTGCTTTGTATCCTTTCATAGGGGCGTAGTTCAGAATGCTGCTTTTGTAAACTTTGAGCTCCTATCAGAACGGTACTATTAATTTAGGAAACTAGCCAGTTAGAAGGGGTAAATGTAGAATAAGGAGAAATATAATGAATGGGCTTAGAAGCTGAAGGATCAAAAATAAGCTTATAATTCTTTTTCCTCCTTTTTTTTCATATCCTGTATAGAAACTGGTCACTGTAAACATAATGCTAAAAGAGATAAGGGACAGCAGTGTGGTGCAGCGGGTTAAGCTGCGCCTTGTTCTATTCATATATCATAGTACCTGGTTCAAGTCCCAGCCACTCTGCATCCAGCTCAGCTTCCTGCCAAGGTGCCTAGGTAGCAGTGGGTGTTGGTTCAGGTATTTGTCTCCCAGCTCCAGCTGTTGTGGCCATTTGGGAACTGAACCAGCATGGGGAAAAGTGTGTGTGTCTTGTTGTCTGTCTGCCTTTCTGATACATAAATAAAAAATACAATGTTTAAGAAGAGGAGGCAGAGATGAGCGAAAAGCTGTTTCCCAGAGGATGAGCATTCATGTCAGGTGGTTACCAACACTCGTTCTTTTTAAGCCCTAGTAGCTTATTGCATTTTTCCTGCCTGTCTCGGGAAATAGTTGTAAGTCATATATGGAGAATGCATTCTGAAAAAAGCCTGGAATACAGCAAGGGACTTTTTTTTTTTTTTTTTAAAGACATATTTATTTTGAAAGAGTTAGAGAGAGAGGGAGAGACAGAGAAATCTATCTGTGGGTTCACTTTCCCAAGTCGCCACAATGTCAGGGCTGGCCCAGACAAGTCAGCTGCTGCTTCTGGGTCTCCCATGTGAGTGGCAGGGACCCAGGCTCTTGGGTCATCTGCTGCTGCTTTTCCTAGGACGTAAACCATTACACATATGAGATGTCAGTGTCACCAGCAATGGCTTTACCTGCTGTACTACATTGTCACGTTTATACTCCTATAAAGAACATTTGGGGTGTAATCCTGTTGCACAACAATTACAATCCAAACAAAATCAACCTGAGAATTCACGTGTCAACCATATTCAGAGCATTTTAAAAACAGTTGGTGTCACCTGTCCCCCTTCTGAACCTCTGTGGTCAAAATTGGATGTAGTCCATGGTGCTAACCTTGAAGATGTTAGTCAGCCATTGGAAGATGTTGAGAATAGAGCTGCCCTCAGGAAGAAGCAAAGCGAGGGGTCTCACACCCAGGGGAGGCCCTGGGACGCAGGAGGAGATGCTCTGGCATTGTGTGGGTTGCCAGTCTCCATTGCCCCTTAACCAGATGTCCTTCAGCTCATTGGTAACAGGGATAATATGGAAATAGCTCTGTGGGCTGGTGGTTGGGAGAGAGTGCAGTGATGTTTATGGACCTTCAGCCTTTGTATATTGTTCCAAGTCCCTCTGAGAACATATGATTAAAATTGTGTATATGATCACTGAAATAAAGCTCTGAATTCTTCATTTCTGTTTTTTTTTTTAAGAGTTGTTTATTTTAATTGGAAAGGTAGATTTACAGATAGAAGATACAGAGATAAAGATCTTCTGTCCACTGGTTCACTCTCCAAGTGACTGCAACAGCCTGAACTGAACCAATAAAGCCAGGAGCTTCTTCCGAGTCTCCCATGCGAGTGCAGGGTCCCAAATCTTTGGGCAGTCCTCAACTGCTTTCCCAGGCCACAAACAGGGAGCTGGATGGGAAGTAAAACAGCAAACAAACCAGCGCCCATATGGGATCCTGGCATGTGCAAGACAAGAATTTAGCCACTAAGCCATCATGCCAGGCCCTTAACTCTACATTTCTAACATCATAATTTATATAAGAAGCATTATCTTCTTTTCCAACTTCATCAGCCTTTATCGCTTAACACATGACACTGGTCAGGGAGAACTTCTCTTCGGTGAGAAATCCTCTGGTAGACTAGTTTCCAGGCTGACTGGGCTTGGGCTAGCAATGTGCTAAAACTGAAACTGCAGGGGCCAGCACTGTGGCATGGTGGGTAAAGCCGCCACCTGTGGTTGCAGTGTCCCATATGGGCTCTCGTTCAAGTACTGGCTGCTCTAGTTCTGATCCAGCTCCCTGTTTACGCCACGTCCCGTCCTCCCCCCCCTCCACCCCGAAAGAAGTGGAAGCTGGCCCAAGTCCCTGGGCTCCTGCACCATGTGGGAAACCCAGATGAAGCTCCTGGCTCCTGGCTTCAGACTGGCCCAGGTGCAGCCATTGCAGCCATCAGGGGAGTGAAGCAGTGGGTGGAAGATCTCTCTCTGTCCTTCTGGGTCTTTATAACTTTCAAGTAAATAAATAAATCTTTGTTTAAAAAGAAATAGACTCAAACTGCAATGAAAAAGCCCCTTTCACCATTATCTTCCATTATTCCCCATCTTTTCAGGCCCCACCCAAACCCTCCCTCGTAAGTTACTGCGTTTTGATGCTATGCAAAGTTTATTGATAAGCGGACAAGCAATTACATGTTCTTAGATCTTTCCTGGGTTGTGCTCTCTCACACACACACTCTCTTTTACATAAAAGATAGCATCTACACATGTGCCTGTTTTACAGCGGTTGTTAAAGTAGTGTGTCTGGATCGGCCCCCGGAGAGCCGCATTCCTGGATAGCTAGCTGTGTGTAGTCGGTTCCTCCGAATGGATGTCCATGGCTTACTTACGCCCAGATCCAGGCGTTTGCTTGCTTCCCATTTGGGGATGTTGAAGACAGTGTGGTCATAAATAAGTTGAGCATATGTGCTGCATGTGTTTAATTTCTATCCATGGACTTGCTGGTTCAAGGGTATGTGCCTTCTCAATTCTGAAAGTTATTGCAAAACTGTCCTTCGCGGAGACCGTACTGTCTCACCTCCCTGCAACAGGATAGGAACACGCACGCAGCTTCCCCCCGCAGCCTTGCTAACAGAATGCCTTCATGGATGTTTGTCAAACTGACAGATAAAAATGGTTTCTCAATATGATGTGGCCATTCTCTTATTTGCCTAACTGGAACCCGTCTTCATGTGTTCATGAGGCATTGTATTTCCTTGTGTGAGAATTGTCTGCCTGTATCTTTTGTCTACCTTTCTGTTGGGTTGAAACTCAAGGGAACATGGCCCTGGTCTGTGACATTAACTTGCAGATGTTTTTCTTTTGTGATTTCTGTGTTTTGAATCAGCATTGGCAAGGCCTTGCTCATTGCTGGGTTGCAAAAAAATCTTGGATTCCCCATAACATTTTAATAGCTTATGTTTTACATATGGGTCTTTGATCTGTTCAGGGGTTTGTCCTGGTATGCCATGTGAAGTATGGCTTCAACCTTATTTTGTTATTTTTTTATAGTGCATATCCTGTTGTCCCCTGGCCAGTGAATGAACAGTCCTAATATTTCTTCTTTAAAATGTTTCTTTAAGGTCTAAAAAGTTGGCAGCAGTTGCAGAAGCCTTGAAGAAAGTCTCCCTTACAAAGGCCCAGCTGGGCTTAGAACTGGAAGAGCTAGAAGCAGCAGCACTTCTTGTCCAGAGGGAAGAAATGGCCTCAGAAGCAGTGCCTTCCGTTTCCGGGCAGCAGCCACAGCCTTGCAGCCCCGAGACGGACGAGTCGGAGTCGGAGTCGGAGTCGGGCAGCACTGCATCATCCGGGTCAGAGGACCCTGATTCAGATCCAGAGGAGCTCAGACAGCCCTCTGCGGCAGTAAACTCTTTAGAAGGCCCCTTTTTGCAAGAAAACAGCTCACTGCTCTTCGCCGGTCGTGGGCTCTGCGGAGACCCAGCCATCCAGGACTCTGACGTTAGCCAGCCGGAGCTGCCTGCCTCTCCCTGGGCTCCTGCAGGGCGCAAACCTCTGATAGAGGAGCTTGGGGAATACCTGGAGACCACTGTGCAGGTGTCTGAGGCCGAGGGTGCCACAGCTGGAAACCAGGGCAGTGCCCAGCAGTGTGATGGGCAGCAGGGGCCAAGTGATTGAGCGCCTGTGGTGGTGTTTGCTGTCAGGAACTAGGTAAGACTTGGTCTCACCTGTGACTTAGAATGCCTCTCTCTGACTTTGTACTTGTTTTTGGCATGTAGAACCCTGTGTTTCAGTGAGCTGATTTTTATGCTGTTTGCTTTCCTCGCGGCAAGTCTAAAATACAAGTTCTAAAGTCATTTTACCCAAGTGTCGCTGATAAACATGAAGAGAACAGTTCACTGCCAGCAGCTAGAGCCTGCAGAGCCGGCTGATCCGCTCAGCTTGACTGAGGCACACCTGACCTCCAGCAGGCTGCCGGTGCTCAGGGCGGCAAGCACTGGGCGCCCCTGGGGAAGGCCTCGTCCCCATCCAGGGCATGATCCCCATCCATGCCCTTCATAATCTCCCCGTTCCTCCCTGCCTCCCGCTCCCCCCATACAGGCGCTGCCCAGCTTGCGGTACTGCGCATGAGTTTGCATTTCCTGGAATTGTACATAAACTGATGGTGTACGTGTACGCTTTCTCTGTCAGCCGTGTCCCACTCTGTGTGGTTATTTTGAGATTCATTCCATGTGTCAAGAGTTGTGTTTTGTTCCGTTACCAAGCCCTGTTACTGAGTTGATCTCTTCCGTTCACCTGCTGATGGGCCTGTGCGCAGCTTCCAGTTTTTAACTGTTAAATATAAAACTTAGAAAAACATTTGTGTACAGCCTTTGTTGGGCATACGCTCTCATTTCTCCAAGGTAAATATCTGGATGTGGAATAGCCGAGCCGTAGGGAGCATCTGAGGAAGCGGTGGAGTACATGGATACAGCCTTGATCTGCTCCCCCATCCCTTCCTTCTCTCCCTTCTTAAATTTATTAGAAAAGCAAAGTCATAGAATAGAAACACACTTTCCAACCACTAGTTCATTCCCCGAAGCAGCTGGAGCTGGACACTGCTGAAGCCAAGAGCCTGGAGCTCCTTCTGGGTCTCCCATGGGACTGGCAGGGGCCCTGACATTTGGTCCATCTTCTGCTGCTTTCCCAGGTACATAAGCAGAGAGCAAATGGGACTCGAACCAGAGCTCCATTGTGAGATGTCAGCATTGCGGGCAGCAGCTTAACCCCATTACACCACAGCACTGGCCCCTGGGTAAGTATGTTTACAGATGCTCCACGGCTTTGCTTTGGGAGGCAATGAAGTAACTGGGAAGCAGTTTCATTCCAGGGATATTGGCTTCTGGAATTTGTTCGACCAGTCCAGTCTGGGGTGAGCTACTCCCCAATGCCGATGTTGTCGAGTCCCCCACCGAATCCTGTGGGTTCCCATTTGCAGTGTGGCTGGTGAAGGCACACGCTGTGTAGGTGCTCAGCCCTGGCCCCTTGCAGCCTCCCAGGTGGCTCTTGCCCCTGCCCTCCAAGGTAAGTTGCCTCCCTCTTCAGCCAGCCAGGGTCCTCTGTACATCCCCACCACCCTGGAACTCCTGTGTGCTCTGGATTCGGCGCAGATTGTGCCTCCCTGTGCAGCCCCACACGCAGTGTGTCCCAAGGCCACGGGCAGCGCAGTCAGGTGGGCCCATTCTAGCTCCCTGCTAATGTGCCTGGGAAAGCAACAGAAGATGCCCCAACTGCTTGGGCCCCTGCATCCACATGGGAGACCCAGAAGCTCCTTTCTCCTCCCTTTTGACCAACTACTGCAGCCATCTGGGGAGTAAAGCAGTAGATGGAGAACAAATCTCTCTCCTTTTGTAACTGCCTTTCAAAGACGAATAAACAGAATTTTGAGGAGGAAAGACAGCAGTCCCATCCAACAGCTTAGTCCCTAAAGACTTGCTGGGGCTGGGCTGGGCCAAAGCTGGGAGCCTGGAACCCAATCCTGGTCACCTACGTGCCTGACAGGAATCCAGTTCCTTGAGCCATCACCTACCGTGCCCCGGGATTGTACTGGCACAAAGTGAGAATCGGGAGTGGAGCTTGGGGTTCAGCCCAGGCACGCCACTAGGGGATACAGGTGTCCTGAACTAGATATCTGAGCTGCTGAGCTGAATACATGCCCCCATTTGACAGAGGGAGAGAAGTCCAGTCTGCTGATGTACTTCTCATACCTGCATTGGCCAGGACTCCCATGTGGTCAGCAGGACCTTGGTCACTTGGTCATTGCTGCTGTGCCCCTCACAGTCTGCATGAGCAGAAACCTGGAGTCAAATATGGAACATGGTGGACAGCCTAACACATCTTCTTCTAAACGGCCAGATAGCGCCCCTCCTGTTCATGTTCTGAACAGCAAGTTTCCCACTTGGCATGTAAACTGCTCACACCGAATCCTCAATGCTTCACAAATACTTGTTTAATGAATGAATAAATGGAATAAACCAATTTGTTTTGGGGAAGGAAGAAAGTGAAATCTGATTTGGATTGATCTCAGAAACATTGTTTTAGCTCCTAAGTGTTTCCAAAGTTGCGTTCATATTTCTGATTCAAATTCCAGCATGTGTTAGCATGACGGCGGGCTGACTGTGACATTGGACGTGCCTGTTACCTACAAGCACTGTAGCAGCTTTCTTAGAAGCTGTTCAGGACTTTTCCCAGACTCCATGGGAAGAGCTTCAAAACTTGCACGAGCGCTGATAATGCACTTCGCCTCAGTAGCTTATGACTAGCAGCCAGTCTGAAGAGGCATTGTCAAGTGCTTCTACCAAATTGTGCATATTGAGCTTATCTGCTTGTCTAAAAGAAGTTCTGGGGGGCAGCGTTAGGGTGTAACAAATTAAACTGCCTCCTGGTACACCACATCCCATGGGCATGCTGGCTCAAGTTCCTGCTATTCCACTTCCAATCCAGCTCCCTGCTAATGTGCCTGGGAAGGCAGCAAAGGATACTCAAAGTCCTTGGACCCTTGTATCCACATGGAAGACTAGAAGGCATTCCTGGCTGTCTTGCCTATCCCAGTCCTGGCCATTGTGGCCATCTCGGGAGTGAACCAATAAATGGAAGATCCATCTTTCTCTGACACTCTAGTTAAAAGCCACAGAAGACTTTCTTCATCCACCTTTGTCCTTACTGGGGATCTAGCCAAGCTCTACCTACAGAAAGACATCGTGGGCTGGGAAAACATCCTTTTCTCATGAGCAAAGCTTATCTTTCTGGGAGGTACTCACAGCCAGGGAGCCCATTCAATGACCCTCGGGGGTATTACTGTGTGGGGGTCTTCCTTCCAGACTGTCCCACTGCAGCCCCCTCCCCATCTCTGTTCATCGTGGTGACTTTACCTTGGAGGATGGTGGGCCAAGAAAACTGTATCACCCCAAAACTCCTCCAAGGGTGGCCTCTGTATAAACAGTAATAAAAACTAGGCTACCTGCCAGGGCAACTTTAAGCAGCTCTCAGAACCAGTGGAGTTTCCCAAGAACCCTGGGTGATGAGAGAAGAAGAAGGTGGGGCAAACATAAGGAGGAGACGTCACCGACTGCCCAGTCCCAGTCCAGTGACTCGCAGAGCTGGGTTCCAGAACTAGAGCGAGGACTGGGCCCATGACAGGTACGGCAGACCCCCAAAGCCATCCCTGCATCTGGCCACCGGAAACGGAACTTGGGGTTCTTCTCTTACAGGTGCAAACACTAAGTGGAGGAGCATTGGGCCAACATGAGGATGTATTATAATTGGCTGGCTGCCCAGAGCTAAGGCGGGAGGGTCTGCTGAGCTCCACAGGGTCCTGGCTTCTGTGGGATGCTTAGGGGAGCAGGCAGCCCTGGAGATAGAAACAGCAACAATACCCATGAGTCACAGTGCTGCTTGTGCAGGTTTGCCTTATTCTTGACCTGTCTCTCCATGGTCTGTCTCTCCTTTCCTATTATCCTTAAAGAACCATGCCAGGCCTCGCTGTGGGCCAGCCGGTTCAGGTGCAGTGACTAAGCTGGTATCGCCTTTCTTTGGCACAGATTAATTTACAGATGACACAGGGCTGCTCTTGACCACATTCCGAATGGGCTGACAGCTGGAAGGCGGTTTTCACACCTGCTAAGAAAAGGCTCACTTGGGTTGTGTGGATCAAATTCTATTACCAAGAATTAAGAGGAGGAGAGAGAGGGTCAAATTTCCTAATCCCTAAGACATTATAAAATTACTATCTTAAGACATGGGGTTTAGGAGGTTTTGTCATACATTTTTGGTAACTGGAAACCGATCTATATTGTCGTAGTCAAGGGAGACATAACAGATGTCACCTTAAAAAAGAAAAAAAAAAACTGGGCCTGGCGCGGTGGCACAGTGGTTAAGGTCCTCGCCTAGTGCGCCCAGGATCCCATATGGGTGCCAGTTCTATCCTGGCAGCCCCGCTTCCCTTCCAGCTCCCTGCTTGTGGCCCGGGAAGGCAGTCGAGGACGGCCCAAGGCTTTGGGACCCTGCACCCGTGTGGGAGACCCAGAAGAGGCTCCTGGCTTCGGGTTGGCATAGCATCGGCCGTTGTGCTCACTTGGGGAGTGAATCATCGGACGGAAGATCTTCCTCTCTGTCTCTCCTCTCTGTATATCCACCTTTCCAATAAAAACATAATAAAAATAAATCTTAAAAAAAAAAAGGGAAAAAAAACTAAAGAGGGTTGGAGTGGTGGTGGCAGGCTAATCCTCCACCCTGTGGCTCTGTCACCCCATATGGATGTTGGTTCACATCCTGGCTGCTCCACTTCCCATCCAGCTCCGTGCTTATGGTCTGGGAAAGCAGTGGAGGATGGCTCAACTCCTGGGGACCCAGCACCCACATGGAAGACTCACAAGAAGCTCTTGGCTTTGGATCAGCTCAGTTCTGGCCATTTCAGCCATCTGGAGAATGTACCAGTGAATCAAAGACCTGTTACTGTCTCTCTTTATCTCTCCATAAAAATCTGTCTTTCAATAAAAATAAATGTCAAAAAATACAGAGAGGGCCCAGTGTGGTAGCCTAGTGGCTAAAGTCCTCGCCTTGCATGTGCTAGGATCCCATATGGGCACTAGTTCTAATCCCATCCAGCTCCCTGCTTGTGGCCTTGGGAGAGCAGTCGAGGATGGCCCAAAGCCTTGGGACCCTGAACTTAGGTGGGAGACTCACAAGAACCTCCTGGCTCATGGCTTCTGATCAGTGCAGCTCCAGCTGTTGTGGCCACTTGGATTGTGAATCAATGGACAAAAGATCTTCCTATGTATATCTGACATTCCAATAAAAATAAATCTTTAAAAAATAGCAAATGCCAATGGCGGTGCTGATTTGCTTTGAAGGCAGATCAAAGATGGCCAGCATCTCCCTGCTGTCCCTCCCTCCAGTCTGCCGTGGGAAGCAAGGCTGTTGATGGGCCCCTTTTCCCACCTGCCCTCTGAGTGCATTATATATGGTTCCAATCCATACCAAATGAAGGGAGCATTGATTCGACTTGATTTAAGGCAACGAGTGATAAATGCAGCTGGGAAATTGATTCATGTCTCTCAAGTGACTGGGGCACAGCCATCCTCCATTGACACCGCTCGCGCGCATCTCAAGGCTGCAGAAAACAAACAGGGGAACGCGCGTCAGGCAGATAAATGACTCTGCTGCGCTGAGCGCTCCGTGGAGGCCATTTGTCTCCCAGATAAGGACGACGGCTCTCCAAAGTCACGAGAAGATAAGCTCCCAGGAAAAGGATGGCTTGGCACAGGATGCCGGCACATTTGGAAAAACCGCAGCAGGAGAAAAGAATACAGCTCCGTGAA